AATGAGTCTGCCTTTTGGAGACTCACATGTTAACTGACAATAGAGATGTTTTCCAAAAGCACTGGACGGCAAGAGAAAGTGAACCTAGAATTTAAAAATTGCCACATACAGTCAGTAACTCAGGTGTCATACACGGATAGGTGTTGTCCAGGTTTCTGGTATTGGGGTATTGCCGAAATTGTATGTGTGTGGGAGGTGGGGAACAATTTAAGACTCCAAGGACCTTCAAAATTAAAGAGCTTTAAACATGTTTTGTGATAGAAGGAAACTGCCTCTTGGAGACCAAGGAAGCCAATCCTATTTCAGGCTTCTCCACTAAGCCTTTATCAATCAATAAATATGCCTATCATGTATATAAAATTGATAGATTCCAAGAGAGGGAACAGAGCCATCAGGTTTCAAGGTTTATTTAGTGCTGGCTCATTTGCAATATACTTGAGACCTGAGACAAGCCTTCCTTCAGTGTCTTAAAGACCACTAGCAGCCACACCCCAAAGGAATTTGGTAATCTTTCCTCCTATAGCTAACCTGTAATTTCCACCACTGCTTGTTTTTTATCGTATTTTATTATTATTATTATTATTTATTTAGCTACTTGAGCACCTAGGAAGAAAACGCTCAAAGTCCTCTCCGTCATCATTGTGCACCACCTTATCAAACTGGAGCTGATATTCTGCAATGTCCACATCAGTGTCCTCCCTAAGTAGATGAGCCACAGATCGTTTCAGAATCTGAAGTGACACCAGGTGGTAAAACACGAAGGAGGCAGCAGACCCAGGTGGGAAAATTTTCATTCATTCAAACAACATGTCTGTGCACATACCATGTGCTGGGCCCTGTGGGAAAGACAAAGATAAATAAAGCAAGCCCTAAATAAATAAACCAGGCCAGAAGAGAAAGGCCAGGAATAGGAGCATGCAAAAAGGAGGGAAGCATGCTGGAGGAGGAAGGCTAGGAAATAACCTCCCCTAGCTTATATGTTCCTAGGACCAGCTCTACTGAAGTCTGCTGGCTTGGAGTAGAATGGAATGTAGGCCCACAAATCACTCCACCCCCAGCAAACTAACCCACCCTCCTCAGGCCCATAAGGCCTCTAGTCTGCACCCCTCAATCCAGAGCTCTGCCCTGGCACCATGGAATGCTCTCTGCTCAAAGCCCTCAGGGGTTCTACACTGGCACCACTCCAGGCCCAGTCTGCTCAGCCTTATTCCTCTCTGGCTGTCTCAGTTACTTTACCAACTCCATAACTATGAGGAATCCCTTATGCATGGTCTTTTTCTGGTGTGGGGAGAGGGCAGGAAGTGGGACCCCAAGGAGGCCGGAAGTAGTAGAACTTTCGATGGGGGGTTTAGGAAAGGGGAGGAACAGTGTGAAGGAGGTAGCATAGCCCAGAATCCAGGAAGAAAGCTGGAGGCAGGCATGGGAGAAGCAGCGGCACCCAGTTCGGAGACCGTGGAGTGGAGGCTTAAATGGAGCTTGGGCTGGAGACTGGGCAACAGAAAATAGATTTTTTTTTTAAGACAAAGTCTCACTCTGTCACCCAGGCTGGAGTGCAGTGGCACAATCTTGGCTTACTGCAACCTCTGCCTCCTGGGTTCAGGTAAATCTCCTGCCTCTGCCTACCAAGTAGCTGGGACTACGGGCGTGAGCCATCACACCCAACTAATTTTTGTATCTTTAGTAGAGATGGGGTTTCTTCATGTTGGCCAGGCTGGTCTCAAACTCCTAACCTCAGGTGATCCACCCGCCTCAGCCTCCCAAAGTGCTGGGATTACAGTTACTGCTCCTGGCCAGGAAATGGATTTTGAAGTAAGTATGTGTGCCAAGGGGATATGGAAGAGGTCCTGATTGGTTAAAGGAGAGGCTGGGAAGGGGTTGGTGCCTTGCCTGTGAAAATACAGGAGTCGGGGCCAGGTATGGTGGTTCACACCTGTAATCCCAGCACTTTGGGAGGCTGAGGTGGGCAGATCACTTGAAGCCAGGAGTTCGAGACCAGCCTGGCCAACATGGCAAAACCTTGTCTCTACTAAAAATACAAAAATTATCCAGGTGTGGATTATGCCTGTAATCCCAGCTACTGGGGAGGCTGAGGCATGAGAATCACTTGAACCTGGAAGGTGGAGGTTGCAGTGAGCCGAGATTGCACCACTGTACTCCAGCCTGGGTGACAGAGGGAGATTCTGTCTCAAAAAAATAAATAAATAAGATAAAAAATAAAATAAAATATGAAGGTCAGTCCCAAGTCCAGATAAAGAATCTCCACTCAGGAGCCCTTTCAACAAGGATAGACGCACCAGGCCCCCAATCTCTCTCAAAACGCCCCTACTGGGTTCCTCTACCACCATCCCCCAATTCTCACCCCCCACCCACATTTTCCCTCACCCCAGAGATAAAATTAAAAGGGAGGTGGTTTAGGCTTCACTGTGGGAGATCTCCTAAGAGAATCATTCAGCATTCACAGCATATGTTAACTGAATACTCATTGATTATTGTGATGGAGGAAATAAAGATGAAAAAGATATAGTCCCTGCCTACAGAGTTTCCTGCTCTCTGGAATGGAGATATTCAAACAGTAGGGATTCCAAGACCCTGAAACAGGTGACCAAAGGAAGGTATCTCCTCCTTTCCTGACGTCAGTCTTCAAACAGACGAGACTGGACTCCCAGGGACAGAACAGGTGGGGTTGGCATAGAGATTGAGGGCCGAATGGACCAGTGATCAGCTCAAGAAGCCACTGGTCTCAAGGGAAAGGGGCATGGCTGCCTTTACTCAATAGGGCTGCTAATCCTCTACAACCTAAATGAGATGAAAGAAAGACTGGGGTGGAGGCGAGAGAGGGGAGGAGAAGGGTAGAGGCAAGACCCTAAGAAGTAGAGTCTATACTAATTATATACTAAGACATAATATTGGAATTAGAGAAGAGAGAATTGCTCCAGATCCCAGAAAGAATTGCCACCTGAGAAAAACCTAAACACCACATTGACTTTGCCATAGTGCTTCTCTATTAGACATGGACCAAGGGCATTAACTGAGCACCTCCTTTGTGCCTGGCACTACGCTGGGTAGTGGATGAGTGGCCCCAGTCAAGACTACAGAGCCAGGATGCCTAGAGGCAAAGGAGACAGGCAGGAATTGGAAGGATGGCTGTAATGACAGAACAGTAGGGGAGGGGCATCTGGGTGTTTGATTTATGTCTGCTCCAACAGTCCTAAGCTGTCTTCCCCTGCCTCAAGCTGGGATTTTCCCAGATGTGCATCTGCTTGAGGGAAAGAAGGGCGGCACAGGGGGAGGGTCTCCGTGTCCTTGCATCTGGTCCCAAGAGCAATCCCTTCTCCTTTCTCCCTGTGCTGTTCACTGCCTGCTGGGTAGAGGGTGGGAGGCTGGGGAAAATGCCAGGGCCCCCAGATAATCATCAGGTAATGAAAAGAACTGGCCCAGGGCTTGGGGGGAATGCAGAAGATGCCGAGTTGGGGCTATAAATCTTCCTGGGAGAAGGGGGTACGGAATGGGGGGCCCTGACAGTTGGAGCCCATCCAGGTGATTTCACATGAAGTATCTGAACCTTGAGGGGTGGGAGGGGGTAAGATGAGAGGCAGGCAGGGGTGTGAGCCAGAGAGAGGAGAAGACGCTGAAAGAGACAGGGAGAAGCAAAAAGGAGAGATGGAAGGGAGGGCAAGAGATGGGAAGAGAGATGGGAAGAGCGATGGGGAGGCAGCCAAATGAGACAGATGGGAGGGGAGGTGGATGGAGAGACTAAAAGGCACACACAGTGAAATTCATAAAGACGTGATGGTATGAGAGACCCTTGGAGACTGAGGGAGGGAAGCGGGGAGGGAGAGAGAAGGGCTGATGGCGGACACAGTCCTAGAAAAACTCAGACCAAAAAATATCTGGAGTCAAGGAGATAGGTAGAATGGCCGACAGACAGACAGACAGACCTGCCTGACAGAGATGAGGGTGACAGACTCAAAGAAGGAACAAAGAAAACAGGGTTGCAGTGAAGAGGGGGGAGGGAGGGAGACAAAGAGAGAGAAGGAGGCAAGTGCAGAGCAGGAGGAGGGAGTGAGGCCAGGGAGGGGATATATATTTTCTTTATGATCCTCTTCAATCTCACTCAGCTCGCTGCTGAGCCGCTTCCCCTCTCAGGTGCTGCGCGGTGGCGGATGTGCCCAGAAAGCTGATAGGGTGAGGCTGCTGCCAGAGCCCCCAGGCTCTCTCCCAGAGCCAACCTGGGGGGCTCGCAGAGAACCCTCCCTACAGGGACATGACAACCCAACCTGCCTTCCTGTCCCCAAAATGCTGCAGTCCAGAGAGGCCTGAAGCCCAGCTCTAAATTTTTCAGAGCTAATGCAGCCTGGCACAACCAGTAGAAGGGGAAGTGGGACAGAGGAGGAGAAATAGAGGCAGGCACGCAAGGGAGGCACGTTCTGGGGAGGGTGCTGGGGACAGTCTTTGGTCAGGGGTCAAGGGCAGAGGAGCAAAGAGAGGTAAGGACTGAGGAGAGATCTGCATTTGAGAACGAAATCAGCAGCATGCAAAGGATAAGGGAGATAAGACACCAGTGACTGTCCATTACTTTGGGGTCAACAATTTAGACACCTACTGAGAAGCCATGACCGATGCCTTCAAGCAACTCTCTAGCAACAGACCCCACAAATATATACATAAAACCCATGAAAGGAGAAACTGAGGCATAGAGTAGAGATCCTGAGACCAGTGAATGTGCGTGAATCTAGGTTTTCAGGGACCGGAGATACAGCAACCAGCCAAGTTTCTGAAGAAAGTCATGCATTAACTAAGACTTAGCATGACAACCTGGACCCTGCCTTTTTTTCTCCAGGCTTTCTTGAGGCTGAGGAAGTAGTTGAGCTCTACAAAGACCAGCTCCCCCAGCTCCTCTTAGGGCCGGGGAAGACCCTAAGAACATTACCTCCGGCAATCTAAAGTGAAATTATCCCCACTCCTTCCCTGCCAGCCTCATGCAAGGTCCAAGAGGCCAGATGTCTCAGGATAGCCAGAGCCTAAGGAGTCGGCTTAGCAGCAGAAAGAACTTTATCACAGCTTATTTGGGCCTGCCAGAGGTAAATTGAAAGGCTGCGAGGAAAAAACTGAGATCCCTACCTAATCCTACACCCATCCCAAGGGAGTATGGGTAGAAGGACAGGGGACAGAATCAGAAGGACTTCACAACCCAGGAGAAAAGGAGAAAAGCCGGTTCCCAGGCAACAGCTAGGTCAGTCAGTAGCTGAAAGACCCCCAAGGCAGCTGTAGATCTCTGTTCTTCGCCTGAGTCTCTCAAGCCGGCAAACGGGAGGCTCTGCAATACCAGAGGGGGCCGCTAGGGAGTGCTCGCCAACAGCCAGGCTCCAGAAAGGAAGGAGCCCGCCAAGCCAAGAAGACCGGAAGGCAATCGATCAGAGTCGCCCTGGCAACCGGGCTGAGCCCGAGACAGACAGCACGTCGATAATGAAATCATCGTTAAATGACTTCAAGCCCTAATTAATAATCCAGGCCAACCGAGGCCATGCCTGACTGGGGTCAGGGGAGGGGATGTCATTGTTGGGGGAGCACTGGAAGCTTCTGGACAATTAATCAATTAATCCACTCACTCAATAATTGGCTCCTTTGTCCTCTGTCATGCCCCCTCCCCCACCTCATCCACCTCTGACTGTGGAGAGGGGAAGAAGAAATGTGGGGCTAATAGTTTCCAAGGGCCACACTTCTTTGCTCTCCCCTCCTTTTTTTCCACACATCTGTTTCCTGAGCCAGCTCACAAAAGCTTCCCTAAGTCAGGACTTGCCTGCGCTCTTCCACAGGACCTACCAAAGAGTGAACATTTCAGGACCCAGAGTCCCCTGCTATCCAGGTACCTCCCCAGATCCCCTGCTCCCTACCCCACTTCCTCCCATGTAATCCCCGGTCCCCAGTATACACACACACACACACACACATCACTGACCCACAGCCCACTCTGACTGAGGAAAGAGCACTGAAGAGTGAATCATGAGAGTTAGCTAAATCCCAGCCACACCAGCCCACCACTTACATATGTAACCTTGGGCAGATTATCTCCCCTCTCCAAGGCCTCCATTTCCTCATCTGAAACTTGAAGGAGGCCAGGTGCAGTGGCTCACATCTGTGATCCCAGCACTTTGGGAGGCTGAGGCAGGAGGATCCCTTGAGCCCAGGAGTTCAAGACCTAGCCTGGGCAACATAGCAAGACCCCCATCCCTATTTAAAATAAAATAAAACCTCAAGAGATTCAACTGATTTCCAAGGTTCCTTCCTGTGGTATCATCTATTATTACAATAATCAGACCTGGATCATTTCCCACTTCTCTCTACTCTGTTCCCTTACTTTGGGAAGGTAAGAGGGAGATTGTAAGGAGTGCCAGGTCCTCATTTATCAGGTGCTTCATCCCCAAAGAACTCACCTCGAGAGCCAGAAAAGGGGATGATAGAAGAGTACATGGAGGGAAGGCTTCCCCAGCCCATCCCCCACCTGGCAGTCCTTCTGGCCCTCGCCACCCACCTTGCTTATTGCTCTCCACAACCCCCAGCAGGAAATGAAAAGGGTACAGGAAATTGCACTTTAAATCCCCTAGCTCCTGACTCCCTCCACCAAGCCAGGGAGCTGGGGGCAGTCTAACTTCACAGACCAGGCTTTCTCTGTTTGTAATTAGTAAGACACTTAGGAGGAGAAGGGGTCCCTGCTAAAAGAGCCCCTGTCTCCAAAACAGCTAATCAGGTTATCCAAAAAAGTGGTGCTGGGGAAAGCATAAGGGGTTTGCAGAGAAGGAAGAACCAGAAGATCTTGGGCAAGATAAAGACAGCCGGTGAGACATGGACTGGATAGGTAGGTGGTAGCCTCCTTTCTGGGAGAGGTGATTTATAGCGCACCTGAAGCCAGGAGAAATGGTGTGCAGCCAAAGGCTGGGATGGGCAAAAAGCGTAAAGAGGGGACCCTGCAGAGACACCCTGCAGAGAGGACCAGGGAGCAAAACCCACCAGGTCCATCCCACCCCTGTGGACACTTAAGAGGTTAATAAAGTTCAGAATGTTCAGGGCTTACGTGTAATTAAAGCCAGGAGCTGGGTCATTCCATTTCTTCAAGTTCCATCTTTTACTTTCCCCTCCCCGACATACGCACATCTTTTACAAAAGACATTGAATCAGATCCTGGACTTTAGATAATACCTCCACTAAAGACGTGGGCTTACTGTCAGCAAAAGAAATGTAGAATAGACTTTAGAAAGGATTTCCTTTGAGTTGGGGTTGGTAAATGCTAGGGCAAATGAAATGATATAGAATCTCCAACAACACATTTCCTACCACACATACACACACACACACACACACACACACACACACACCCCAAACAGGAAAAGGAAAGCCCTCTCTCGACCGCTATTCTTTTTCTGGGGGATTGGCCTCCAGGTGATGTGTCCCACATCATGGGGCAAAACAGTCTCTCTAAACATTAGGAAAATAATTCGCATCCCACCCTTCACTCCAGGAGGAAGATGATTGTTTCCCTCCCCAGATCTTGGCAAATGCCCTGCTCAAGGATCGCATGGCATGTGGGTAAGAGCCCTGCATGCAGCTTGGTGGCTTCTCCCCAAGCCCTCCCTCTCCTGTTTTATCTTAACCTCTCTGCACCTCGTGTCCATTGTTTGGATACACCCTATGAACCCAGTCCTGGAGAGAGGGAAGGAGTGCAAAGGCAGGAGAGGACAGGGTCCTGCTCTCTGGGATGTGAGCAAGATCAGAGGGAAGTAAATGCCAGGTTGAGAGGCTGGAGAGAGTGCAACGGGGTTGGGAGGAGGAAGGCTGATGTCCCTAGCAGGTATGAAGAGAATAAGCTGGGATGATATCAAAGAGAAGGATGATTTTTAAAGCCTAATAAACTGAGATTCAACTGTACAAAGTTCTTTTTGCAAAAATCTCATTTTATTCTTAGTAACAAGCCACAGGAGCAAGTATTAGTGTTGTCATTTTATAGATAATAAAATGAAGACACAGAGAGGTTAAGTAACTTGCCTCAGGTCACAGAACTGGTAAGTAGCCAGGAATCAAGTTGCTGCATTCTGATGCCAGCTCCTGCTGGTTCTGTCCTGTGACGCAGCCAGTTGTAGAGCCTGATTGCATAGGGAGAGATTAACCCCCACTTCCCCTACCCAGGGCAAAAGACCTGCTTCCTCGTGCCCTTTTCAGCCTGTTCTGCCCGGGAGATCTCGATCAAGTTGGTTAACTTGTGTAGGCCTCATCTGCGAAATGGGGAAGTAATATCGAACCCTTTGAAGGTGAAAGTCTAGACTAGATAATTTATTGAAGGTTTTTTTAGCTTTAAAATGAATAATTCAATCCATGAAAGGAGTGAGTAAAGGAGATAGCTAGGAAAGAGGTCTCAAGCCTTCCATCTTCCCATTACCCATCCCCATTCCCACCTCTATCTCCTCCCTCTTTCTGTTTGGGGACCTCTGGAGGCCTCTTCCCCACATTTCATAGCCTGAGCAGCTGTCTCCACCTAACCATGGTTCACTAGCCCATGAAATCCAGACTCATTCATCTTCACGCCCCACGAGGACGTATCAGGGCCCAGGAAGTCAGCCTGGCTTCCTAGCATCTCGCCTACCCAGCCCAGGATCACGGTAGAGCTACAACAGTAGGACATTTTACGTTGCTGTCCTATACCTCTACCACCACTGCTACCCTATCCCAGGTGTCTTCAAGGACAGCTCAGCCCAGGCTTTCTGCTGCAGCCCAGCAAACCTGCCCTCCCAAGCCCTGCATCCTCCACCCCTGGGCCTCCTCAGTACACATTTCCCAACACACACACACACCCCTATGCATTCCTTCCCCATCTGCCTCCAAGGTTCACACTGGCCATTCCTTACCCCAAGATAATGCACTTCACTGAGAGCTCTAACTTGCTAGTTCTCTCCTTTCAGTTCTGCTGCTCCCTGCTAACTAAATGAATACCATTCTCCCTATCCTCTAGGGACCCTCCTAGACTTCTTTCAGATCTTCCTCCATCCTTTCTTATTTGGTCATTCCCAGTCTCCCCAATGCCAGGGTCACAGGGCTTGTTCCAGTTGCTCCTGACCAACTCAACTCATAAGGCTTTGTTGAGGGCGTGCCCAGGGCTCCATGCCTCTTGGTTGGTCTTGACGACCAGCCTCATCTTACCATGAGTCTAGGAGCTCCCGCAGGGCAGGATCTGTGCTCCTCCCTCTGGATCTCCCCTCAGTGCCCAACACAATGGGCAGCACAAACAGGGGAAGGTGTGTGACTCACCGATTCTGCTTCTTAGGAGTCAGGAGGGAACTAGGGAAAGAAACTAAAGCAGGAACAGAATTCCAGGCCCACACTTCGCAATTTTCCTTTAAAAATCTCAAAGGACGTGTGTGTGTGTGTGTGTGTGTGTGTGTGTGATGTATAGATGGGAGAGGAGTATGACGGTATGAGGTTCTAGGAGTCTAGTTCCTGCCTTGGTGCAGGAGTCTTGGGGGAGCTGAACTCTCAGATCCACTGCAGCCCCCAAGAGGACACAGGCCCATGACTCTGCAGCCCTAAGAGGGCAGCCATACTGCCGAGGCAGGACTAATGCAGGTTGACATGTCCCGTAGGTTTTAATTTGCTCAGTCCAGTGTGCCAGTCCACATGGTTTCCTTTGTTCTGCAGGTCAGTCCAGTCCTGGTCCTCCCTTCTTGTACACCCTCAACAGCACTTCTTGCAATCAGAGCCTAATGCATTTGTTAGGTTGAACCATTTGCAATTTCTGATATTCAATTTGTGGGGGCCTATAGTCTGTAATTTTGGTTTTCTCTCCTCAAAACACTTTAAGAAAACTCCAGGCTAGGGAGAGGAGCAGATTGAGGAAAGGCAGAAGTGAAGTGCCAATAGACTAAGTCCCATGTGCCAAGCATGTTACATTCGTTATCACAGCGCTAATTCCCACAACATGAAGCACCTAAAATTATTTCCCACATTTTACAACTGAGCAAGCCCAGGTTAAGACTCACATGGTGAGGCCCAGGTCTGGGATTCAAACTTAGCCACAGACCCACCGCCACCTAGAACCAGGAACTCCTAACAGAGCCTGAGGGCCAGCAAGCAGTGTCTGCAGCTTCGCAAAAAGGGAGAGAAGGAAACGAGCCAAACTCGACTTCGCTGGTTGGATCGGTCCAGAAGAGCCCCAATTAGTAGGGTGCTGGAGCAATGCCCAGGGCCGTACCTGAAACCCGAGGGTAGAAGGCCCAAAGGAAGAACCCAGACAGAAAAAGACAGAGGGCGGGGAGGGGCCTGGAAGACGGCGGCGGCAGCGGGCAGAGCGGGGCGAGCGGAAGGGACCTTGGAGGGGAACCCAAGAGGGGGGTGTAGGCAGCGCCGGCAGGCAGCGAGGAACCGGGCTGCAGAGTCTACCACGCTCGACATCCGGGGCGGGCGGCGCGGGGCGGAGAAAGTCCAGGAGAAAGTCTGACAACCACAGGGAGCGGGGGAGGGAGAGACCCTGTGGAAGAGACGAAGACTGCGGCAAAAAAAGGAAAGGAGGGTTACGGGCACCGAGGGGGAGCTGGAGTCAGCCGCAAGGAGAGAGGGAGCGGGGGAGGAAAAGAGGCGGGAGAGAGACCCTAAAAAGCAAGCTTGACGCTCCAGCGGGCCGCTCTGGTGTGGGGAGGGAGCGTCATCTCAAGGACACTGAAAAAGGCAGGTGGATGGTGCAGAAATGCGGGCGCCGCGGCCCCGGGCGGGCGGGCACCGGCCCGCTGCCCTCGCCCCGGGACGCCCCCGCTCCGCACGCTGAAGGCCCAAAGCGCACCCCCACCCCCAGCCCCACTCCCGGCCCAGCCAGTGCTCGGCGCTGGCATGAAATTGGCTGCAGCCGTAATGAGTCCGCGCCGCGCGGAGGAGGCTGAGGGCCCGCCAGGGAGCCCTGCGCGCCTCGTTTAGCTTGTTTATTGTTCAGGCCTAATTAAAACGTTCCACCGCGCTGCGTTTACATCCGCCCCCCGCTAATGAATTCTCGGCCGCCGGGCGATTTCGGAAACTGCCGCGGGCCGGAAGGGGGTGGGAGGCGACGGGGCTGGGGAAGGAGTGAAGGAGAGGACACCCACGCACACCCCGTTCCACGGCCAAAGGAGCCATTAGGTATCTGGCGATTGGCTCCGAGGTCCGAGTGAGCGCCCCAAGCCCCAGCTCCCCCAACGCCTGCAGGCGTTGGGAGGTGTGGAAGGACGGGCCGCAGGGCTCAGAGGAGGGGCTGCGGGAGGGAGGCCGGGAGCGAGTGTGTGTGTGTGTATGTGTCCTGTGCGTGCGAAGGCCTGTGAGCCAGGAGGGTATTGCACGTGGGGGCACCTGCTCCGTCAAGCGTGTCCGCGGAGCAGCCTGTGTGCGCAGGAGTGAGTTTGTGGGTGTAGGAGTGAGTGTGTGTGTGTGTGTGTGTGTGTGTCCGTCCCTTTGGCTGTTCATGTCCCTTTCTCCCCCGCAGGGGGAGTCTGCGCGGGGCTTACAATATTCTTGTTTCTCCCGCCGTAGCTGTTTGCCGTTTTGCTGTTTGCCTCCTTGTCACGACCTCAGCGAGGGCAGATGGAGGCAGTGGAGGGAGAGAGACAGACGGCAATGCTTGGGTAGCCAGGGCTCCCTGCCGGCCCCACTCCTCCTGCAGACACGAGCACACACACACACACACACACACGCAAAACACACACGCTGCCCTTCGCCACACGTAGCCAAATAAAATATACAAAAAGCAACTGAGTTACCATTCGCACATGACCACATGGAAACACACAAATGAACAAACGCATTCAGGCATAGCTACATGCCAGTCACACAGATGGATAGACAAGAGCCTGGGGTACAAAACCACATGGCACAAAGCCACCTGGATTTACATACCCCTACACACACAACACAGAAAAAAACATGCAAACTTGAGTACACACCTATCCAGACAAGTGTGAGTGCACACACACACACTCACTCTACCTGACACGTTAGTGCATCCCCAGTCGGCCCCAGTTTCTCTTAGCAAATTCAGATCACCCAGCCTGGCTTCGAAACCTGTCCCCTTCCATTCCCCTTCATGCTGGTTCCTGAATCCAGCTCCTCGCTCCAGGCCAGCAAAGCTGTCCCCAGCCTCATTTATGGTTTGCTCACCTGCCTCAGCAACATCAGCCAGAGGTACTCCTGCTCTTCTCCTAATCTGTTCCATGCCCTGTTGGGTTTCTCTTTGCATACCCCTCTAACTCCCCCACTCCTAGCAGCCTTCCCTGATGAACTAGCTGGCTTGGATTCCGAATTTGCTCTAGTCATTTGCACTTGTTGATCTTTGCTGTGGTGAATGTCAATGAGATAACTTTGCACCTATAAACATAATGTTGGCAGGGAGGAGGACTGTAAGATCCCCAAGGCGAGGACCACTGTGCCCAAGTATTTCCATCAGATGCCAGGCCTCATCCCTCCAGTGCCAGGCTGCGAATGCTCCTGGAAGCATTACTGCCCGGTTTTAACAGACAGAAAAATGAAATTGGCCCTCAAGCAGCCACTAGAAGATCTCCTTGTCATATCCTGCAAGGTTCCCCTTCAGGGTGGCCTTTCAGAGCCACTTTGGATGAGGGCACACCCTCTTCTGTGTCTTCCCATTTTCACCTTCTTTTTAACTGGAAATACTGCTCCCCAGCTGGGTCCTCACCTGATTCTTCAGCCTTGATTCCTAACACTTAGACTGTTTTCAAAAATTAGATCTACCCCTAAAGGACACAAATTTGCCTCTGGTGCAGATGCTCAGAGCTATACTGCAGGCTCTAAAGGTGATCCCCAAAGAGAAATTGCCAGGAATGACCCAAGCACCTGCAGCAGCTGCTGAAACCTGCTATGTTAAAGGAGATAGCATGCATTGGAAAAGGTTCTTTGTACTTAAAGAAAATGATAAGGTCACCCTAAAAAAGAAAAAAGAAAAAAAAGGAAAAAAAGAAAAGAAAAACTCATGGACTGCCTCCCCAGCTCACTGCAGGGTTGTTTCATCCGGTAAACATGATGCTGGGTTGATTCCAGCCCGGCATCTCCAGGTAGATAGGTGCCCTGCCTGCTTTCCCTCCCCATTTCCCCTTAGTCTGCCTTTCTCTCAACAGCCCCCTCTCTCTCCATGCCCCTCTCACCCTCCTGCAGTTAGAGGCACCCTCTGCTCCCTGTCTTTTCTACGCAGACACACTCACTTCTTGCCTCCTCATATTTCTTTCTCTACCTCTGTCTTTCTCTGACTGTCCTCTGCCAATTTCTCTACTCCCTTTTTCAACATCATTTTCTCTCCCTCTGATCTCTGCTGGGGCTCTGCCATTCTTTTTCTTTCTCAGTCTTTCTCTAACTTCCATCTATCTTCTGTTCTCTCCTCCACACCTCACCATAACTGCTTCAAGCTGTCCATGCAGAGGGAGGGTGTGTGGCTGTCTGGTTCAGCACCAGACAACTCTGGCATTTTGAAGAGCTTGGAATTGCCGTGTTCCTCCTCTCACACACACACACATGCACACATGTATGGGCCTCCCCTCCCACCTGAGTCCCAGGCCCTGGAAGGCCAGCAGAGCCCTCAACCCAGAATCCCCATCTCACCCCCTGTAACCTCTACCTGACCCTTCTTACTGTCTCCCCACCGCCACTCTCCTTTCCTTTCTCCTTGGAAACACATCTTCTCCCTCCCCTTCTCTGCTTCTCTCAGTCTACTGATACACTTCTGGTATATTCTCCGCCCTGGCCCTGGCCCTGGCCCTGGGTCAGTGTGCCTTTGGCTCAGGGTACATGGCCTTCAGTTTCTCCCTGTGGCTGGGACCTTCTCATGCCTCTGTGTCTGTGATTGACTCTGCTATGGCTGGTTTCTGGGTGGCTCTGTCCCTGTGTGAGTCTTCGATTTTTCTGTCTGCTCTCTGGATGCTCCTCTGTCTTGGCTCTGTCCTGTCTCTAGGTCTGTCTCTCCTCTGTCTTTCCCTTTCCACTCGGCAGTGTCTCTGTTCCCTCTGTCTCTCTTCATCTCCAGAGTGCTGGGACCCACTCTGCCCCATGGGTCCCACTCTGTCCATCTTGGCTTGAATTTACTGGATCGTTCTGTCCCTGTCTGTGTGTCCGTCTCCCCCCTTCTCTGCCTCTTTTCCTGCCCTGCAGTGATGGGGCTGGAGAGGGGGTGGCTGGCTCAGAGGGCTTGGAGAGGGAAGGGGGCGGGCGGCCCTTTGTGTGGAAAGATTGACGGCCAGCGGGGCAGCCTCCGCAGCGCTGATTAGGATGCAGCGCGGGCTCCGACTGCAGCATTCTTCTCCTCATCGAACATTCTCCACACTCCAAATAGAGATCCCCTCCCTGCCTGCTCCCCTGGCCTCTCGGGATAGTATGGCTTACCCCTGCCCCCAACCCAGTTCCTCTACTGGGAGCCACTGGAAATTCTAGGAGGGCACCCAAGGGCCCCCTGTCCCACCCAGATATCTACATGTCTTGTACATTCTAAGAGAAAAGGAATGAGGAGAGGTGAGAAGCCAACTGGTGGAGCTTTACTGGAAGGGGGTGTGGGAAGGTCACAAACTGCTTAGGGGAGTTGTCTCCACATCCCCAGCCCGGCAGCACCTTGCACCCCTCAGACACATATGGAGCAACAAGTGCAGGGAGGAGACGTGGCAGGTCTCAAAACACAGGAAGGGGAGCAGGAAATAGGTGGCGTGCCTCTTTTATCCCCTCAGAGCACCTGTCGACCTACCCTGTACATAGTAAGTCCCCAGTAGAATGGTCAGCTCCAATTTTATCAGTTCTCCCAAAATCAGTGCGTAAATCAGTGGAACTCAATTCCTTTTAATATGCCTCCCGACCCACCACCCCCAGCAATTCAGTATCTGGCCCCTGGACAATATCCCCAGCCACACCTTCAAAGCACCCCAGTGATCATCAGATCTCAGCTCCAAATCCCAGTCATTCCAACCACGACTCCTCCAGCATCTGCCTTGTGTCCCTGCCCCTTGCTCTTCCTCTCCCTCCGTTGCTCACCCCCATGCAGCTTGGCCCACTGGGTTTCTCCCCCAAAGACAGGCAATCACTAATGAGCATTGAGTTCAGGGAGGGGAGGGCCAAGGGCAGCCTGGTGGGTGGGAGGGGATTCCAGGGCTAGCAAATAACGAGCCCTGTCAGCATCTGTCAAATATGCCATCTCCCTCCATCATCCCTGCCTCCTGCCTCCTGGCTCCTGCCAATCCATCTCCCTGCCGACACTGACCGACTGTGCTCAGGTGCAACTGCCAAGAAGCCCAGACGCACGATGCCTGGTCTGCTCCAGATCCATTTTCTCCAGGAATGTCACCAGACACTGATTTTAAAACTCTGAGAGACCCTAGGAATACAGGGTTGTAGGATGAAACCCAAAGAGGAAGAAGAGAAATTGCCCTCTGTTCAATCTCAGCCCCTTGTCTCCACTATCCACTTTCCAAAACCAGAACTTAAAACTTCAGGCAAAGGTATAGAGTGTTAAATCTCCGGAAGACCTTCCCAGCTTTGAAGAGGTTGTGAATGCCTCCAAAACTAAGGAAACTGTTGGGGGAAAGCTGTGGCCAGAAACCCGAAATCGCTTCTTGTAATATACGCAATTTCCACCAGGGGGCGAGGAACGCGGCTCTGCGGAGGAGCGGAATCTTCTCAGCAGCGACCTGCGAAGGGCTCAGCGGCCACAGGAGGGCGGCAGAGAACAGTGCTCCCTACAGATCCAGACATCGGCCCTGGATGCTGTCGGGAATCCACGCAAGGCCAGGCTGGGCTGCCCTAGGCTGGGGACGTCTTTAGCTCGAGCAAGAACCTATGAATTTCTGAATTCAGGAATCCTTGCATCCCATCTCAAGCTCTCTAGTCCCTGAAATGCCATCGCCCTCCTCAGTCTCCCTTAAATTTCTCGTTCTAGCACTGGGGCTGCTGGCACAGAAGGACCCTGTGGCTTTTCCTTCATGGTATAGCAGATAACACCCACGGTCCTCCGTGACATTCCCTGGGGTCCCAGATGATAACTGGGGCCAGAACTAGAACCCACGACTTCTTGGTTCTCAGCGCAGGGGTCATCCCGTTGTGTCAGCTGCAGCTCCTGAAAAACACCATACCCTACAGGCCACAACCAGACAGCATCTCAAACCCCTGGCTTAAACAATCAATGTCAAAGCTACTGTGTTCTGTATGTTTACATATGGAGCTGGTGCATACAAGACTGTTAACCCAGAACACACATGTGTGCTGTAGCTACCTGGTTGTGCACCCTTCATCCTCAGGTACATGACCCTCTGTCCCTTCTCTTCCTACTTTCTGAACTGCAAAAGAAGCTTCTCTTCATTTATAATTTGGGCTTTTCACTGTAGTTTCAGGAACTCCTCGAAGCTGTAGACACAGAGGTCCTCTCCCAGTTCTAACCTTGGTCCATCCTACCACAGCCCTTTACACCTGGAGGAGAGGACCTGCACATGATCTTCAGCTCTCTCTTCCCGGGTATCCCTCACCTGGTCCTGTCACTGCTTCTTGCCTCTCTTGTCCCTCTGCTGACCAACCTATGCCTCCTCCAGATTCTTCTTGCTGCCACTGGTTCTCCTTTCATCTCAAAAGCTGAGCCACCCAGGGAGGTGGGCACAGAAAAGAGAAAAGAAGAAAGGTAGGAGGGATTGGGAAGAAAATCTGTCTACAAGTCAGAAGAGGACTCTGTCCCTGCCCCCTTTACTCTCAGCTGGTAAGTTCTACTTAGAGTCTGACATCAGTCCTCTGGCTAGTCCTCACTTTATCTACTCTCCTTGAAGCTAAAGAGCTACAGAAGCTGAGAGTAAATGAGGAGAAATGGATCCAGTTGTGTCAGGGGTATATGTGCAAGCTTGTGGACTGACAGCCTGAGTGTGTATACACTTGCATCACACACCACCCCTTCCCCATTGCCGCCCCCACACACACGTATTCCATGCCATCCCCAATCTAGGATTCCTCCTATAAAACGAGAAGAAAAACATCCCACCTCTCAAACATTTTATTCTAACTTTGATCCTCCAAGGGAAACCTAAAAAGACAACAGCCTCCCCCTCTGTTTCCCCCTCCCCATGTCCTTGTCCACTCTGGTTTTTGAGATTTCTTCTTAAACCCCGTGGGGTGCAGCCCCTACACACCTTCCCCAGAATCCAGGAGGCACTAGAGCCTCCTCCCTACAAAGGACTGAGACAAACGCCAATCACGTTGGGGCCTCTCACAGTGCCCATTCTGCTATGAATTCCCAAGGTCAAAACCATTCTGGTGTTATTAAAAACATAAATGTTGCATACCAGGCAGCGGGGGGAAAAATTATAAGGCAGCCAGACGAGAGGGAGATGGAGGGGCCAGTAATTGTCTTCGTCTTCCCAGAGTCAAGCTCCACGGGGCTGGAGCCGCACACAGAACATTGCTTTTTAATTTAACTCAGTAAGGTCAGCAGCAGCAAATGAGGCAGGGGAGGAATGGCACCTCAGAGGGAGGGCACTAGGGCCTGCAGAACCGGGGCTCCTGGCCAAGATCTCCAAGAAGTGCCAGGGGAAGCTGAGGGAGAATGGCAGGGAGGATTCGGTGACCCTTGGCTCACCAGAGAAGGGAGCTGGACTGAGGGGGAGTGATATAGGAACTCCAAGAATCATTATAAGAGCTTCTGAGAGCCTGGGATTTAAGTGGAAAGAAAGAAAAAGGCTTCAGAGGGACTGTAAGTGAGACCAGAATGCCTGATAGAGACAAATACCCCACTTCACTCTCCACAGTACCCACTCTACAGAGGAGAATAACAAGGTTCATGGTTGGAACTCAGAAGTTCTCCTTTCCCCCAGTACCTGTGAATCCTGGAGCCCAAGTGGAGAGAATTCTCCAGTGAGGTGGGCCACTCTGTCGCATCCCCTTCATCTCCAAGGATCCAAGGGGGCAGGGGAGAGGAAAATGGCAGGAGAAACTGAGGCAGAGCTGCCTTCCCTCAGAATCTTCCTCATCTTCCCCACCTTTTTAGGGTCCCAGCTTCCCATCTGCAGCTCAGATAGCTGTATGGTGGTTCTCTCCATTTCCAGTGCTATAGGAAGGATTGAAGTTAGACCAGAGCAGGGACTTCCCAGATCAGCATCTTGGTCATAGGCACAACCAAGGATAGGGTAGAAAGGCTAAGGAACCTGGGATTTTCTGAACAGGACCAATGAACTGAGCATGATGGGATTAATGAGGCTGAAGAAGGTGGGAGACTTACTGACTGGGGGTGGAGAGCAGCTGTGAAAAAGCCGTGCAACAGTCACAGGCAGTAGCATCCAAATACACTTTGGGACTTACTGGAACTTCTGCAGATCAGACCTCAGATCCTCCTGCTTCAGTTTCAGGATGAAACTGTTAGGAGTTTCATCCTGTTGCCCTGTTAGGGTTTTTGTTTTTGTTTTTGTTTTAGGGAAGGAGGATTAAAACAGTAGGTTTGAGACTGAAGGACAGAGTTTTAATTCTCTGTCTCCATCCCTAAGTGTCCTTGATACTTGGCAGGTTTCTACTTCCATGTCAGTCAGGAATTAGGAGACCCCAATGTCAATTTGGAAATCTGAAGTTTGCTACCCTCATAATGTACACCGCTGCCATCATCTCCCTTTCCGGAAGGTCTCACTCTCAGCGCTGGGACCCCAACCCTGCAGTTCTCCGTATCTGCCACAAGGTGGCGGCCAAAGCATCGATTGATCCAGAGCTAGACCTGGTGCCGCACTAGAGCCTGGACCCTGGCCTCCACCCAGTCTCCATTCACCCCTTCCCCACCTGGGATCTGCCAACCCCGAGGGACCCAGGAAAAGAGAAACTTTCTGGAAGAACTCCAGCTCTTCGGATAAATGGGCTGGGTGAGGACTGGGTGGGAGAAGGAAAGGGAAGGTGCAAGGGAAACCAGAGAAACATAAACCTGGAGGGCTTCAGTGAGGGAGCAGGCAGTCAGGTATGGTGAGAAGCCCAAGCTGAGAATTACAGTGGCTGCCTGCCACTGCCCACACCACACCCAGCACCCCAGGGGCTCCAGCACAGCAGCCCAGAGCTGTTAACTTGCCCAGAGGCAACCAGAGCAGAAGGAGTACCAGGAGCTGGGATGCAGGGAGCCTACACCAGAATAAGCCACCAAGATCCAGTCAGGGAAAGGGTCGGCACCACCTCCTCCTCCTC